CACCTGTTCACTCTACACCCACCAGTTGGAACTAGAACCATTTCAAAGATAACTACTGTAGAGGACTTACAAACATGCATACACTCCAATCAAAATATGTCTTCAGGATGACTTTTCCTGACCTACTGATACCAATGTCCCACCCAAATAAGCTACTCAGTGTGAGACAAATGCATAAGGACCATAAATTGATTGAAACATCCACTTTTCAATGGAAAAGCTAGTTCAAGAAAATTGTTCTGCGTATCTATATTGAATGCAAAGAAGTAATTCTCCCTTAAATACAGTAAAGCACTGGTGACTCTAACTTAGTTTTCCCCTGGAAGAACCTAGCCATACTGATGGGCTTTGCTCCATTGACTAATTGTACAGTCAGTTTTCATGCATGTATGTATTTGAATATCTGGTATATCTTGTATATTTCTCTTACTGTTCCTCCCCACCATCCCTTCCCCTTCTGGGTTTGTGAGCCATCTGGTATTTATTGGCTTAAACCAAAGCAACTTGCTTTGTCTTAATGTCTCAATAGATAGATCAGCTTCACACTAATGATAGCAGGCATAGAATGAGTTTCATGATCATCACATACCCACCTGTAAGTTGCACCCCATTTTAAGGAAGCTCATTCCTTCTGCTCCCATCAGTCCTTTTCATTCATGACATCTGCTTTTCTGTCTATAGGAATAGATTCCAAAGGCTATAAATTGTCAGACCACTAATATACTTCTGCCATTTGGCCACAAGAAAAGTAATTAAGTATTTTGCCTTCTGTGCAAGAAACTGGGTTTCCCCAGTATTGACAAATGAGATGTTAATTTCATTACATGTGTTAGTTATACTAGGATTGTTGCTCTTTAATGAGGTGGACTTATACTTGTGGCCAATTAGTTTCTCTCATACTTTGGCCCCATCTATACATTATATCAATTATACAATTACCTAGTTAACTGTGCAATTGGCTACATTTAGTTTAGATGGGCTAACTTGCAAATTACCCATGCTGCCATAAGCAGGTGCATCCAAATATAAAGATATTGCTGAAAAATGTGTGATAACTTTATAGCTAATTTCTATCTAGCTTTAAATTGCATGGATAGCCTTTGCCTTATGACTGGCAGTCTGGGATCAGGCACCAGCAATAAGGCGTAGTTGGATATGATGGCAATCCTGTAATCATGCTTCTTACTATGCACATGTGGCATGGCAGGAAGTGTGATTGTGTGGATTATGCCTTAGGTTCCATTGTGTCTTTACCTACACATGTAGGGGGTCTCTTTGTGTAATTTTTTGAATTTGTACAAGTGAATATGTAAATCCACAATCCTGACCTAACACCCTTTAACACCCATTCATGCAAATGTCTACAAAAAAGAGTACATTAGCAAAGAATCAACATACTTAGTTTTAAATGAGAAGTTAAGGCATTTTGTTTGACTTTACCTTAATATAGAAACTACTACTTGAGTATTTTTCTGGCAAAATCCCCAGTGCTCGCTCTGTCAAGGCCATCCTCACAGCTCTATTAACCACTCTATGTTAATTTCATCTTAGTGTCTAGACATCATGTGGGCCAGGGGGTGGTTCCATGGGCCAGACTGGGGCCTGGGATCATCTTCTCCTCCTGCCCCTGCTTCTTATGTGATGGGATTGGGCCTCAGAAGCCCAGAATTCCCCTAGCCTATCTGGCCCTGTATTCTGGATTCAAGCACCTGATGCAGTATACAAGGCCTGGGGCTCCCCATGGATCTGGCAGCAGGGCAGCAATACCATTGTTCACCCACCTTAACTTTCTATGATCCCCACAGGCTACACTGTGCAATGAAAGTACTTCATTCTGTTTTCTTACATTTTTGTAACCCCTCTAATAAGCCTGGACTGATTTTAATGAAGTTTGTTATCAATCCCCTTCCCATTACAGTCTTATCAAAATAGATTCCATAATTGGAAAAAAAAAAAGTATTCTTCATTTTCCATAGAAAAATATTCTCCTCCCCGCCCCTTTATCTCCTACTGCAGGAATTTCCTCTTCATGTTTACAGTTAGATCTAGTGCTTTTTAAGCATCTACTGTTGTTGCCAAGGGCTGCACTGAGTTTGCTGAAATTTGCATTAATGCCAATTGGTTGCAAATGCTGATTAGTAAGTTACTGTTAATCTCAGCAATGCTGATACTGAAAATAATTAGAATAACTCTTGGTAAGTGACCCTTGAAAATTGGTTGGTTATACCTCTTAGAATTTTAGCCCTCCCCCCAGCTCTGTTAGAGGCTTTATCTCTACTCAAGAAAATGACATAAGGCAGGACAGGGAAGCACATTCAAGACCTGATAGCTTTCTGATTAGGGGTGCACCAATAGAGTTTTTGGAGGCTAATACCAATAGCCAATATTTAAAGAGGCATATTGGGCAATATCAGTCCAACATCCAATACAGCTGCCATCAGCTGGTTCATTGTGGGAGAGGGGATGAAAGGGGTTTGGGGGGTAGATCAACAGCCCCTGCGGTGAGGGAGGGAACAGGGGCAGGTGCTGCTCAGCTGCGGTGGGGGGAGGGCATGGCAAGGAGCTGCAGCTCATGGGGTGGGGGTGGATCCTGCCACTGCTTGCATCCTGGGAGGGTGGGCAGGCATGTGCCCACAGATCTGCACTGTGTGGGGCAGTCTGCAGCTGTGGGATGGAGCTGGAGCCAGCATTGTGTGGAGCTCTTCTCATGGGGCCTGGGCTTGGAGCGTCTCTGGTGATGCTAGGAGGGGCTGCAACTACCCCAAATTTCATTGCAGTTCCACTCCCAGCCCTGTACCACCACCCAGCACAGCCATGACTTTTCTCTGCACTAGGGTGGAGGCGGGGTGTAGCTGCAGTCTCCTCCAAACATCACCTGAGCCCATTCTGAGCCCAGCCCCCACCAAAAGGAGCCCCATGCAGTGCAGGCTCTGGCTCCACTTCACAGCTGCAGCTTGCACTGTGCCATGAAGATTGGGGTCACACGTCTGCCACCATGCCCTCCTCCTGCAGTGCAGGCAGTAGTAGGAGCTCCAAGACGCGGCTCCATCTTATGCTTCTTCATCCCAGCTGGGCAGCACCTGCCCTTGCCCCCTGCTCACTGAGGGAAGCATTGATCTGCACCCCTACGTTCCTTCCCTCCCCCCCCTTATGACTTCGGCCAAAAAATGCCGAGCATGGGCATTTATTGGCTGAATTATTGGCCCCATTGGGCCAATATCCAATCTAGACAATTTCCTTTATATTGGTACCAATCTGATATTGTACCAATGGTATCGATGCACCTCTAATTCTGATCCATAGCTTCTGAAGAAATAGGCTATCGCCTACAAACACTTATGCCCTTCTTAATGAGTTAGTCTTTAAGGTGCCACTCTGCCCTGCCCTCTGTTGGACTTTAGACTAACACAGCTAATTACCTCTCTCTAAGTAACTGTAAGGCTTATAGGTCATTATGGAAATTTCTGATGAATGCTTATAATTGCAAACTGGTGGGTAATAACTAAAACATCACATTTCACATTTTTTTTTCCTTGAGACTATATTTATCACCCTACTGCTAAAGCAGTCTACATTTTTACTTTTCATTTCAGTCATTGTAAATACTGTAATGTATTTATTACATTTAGAATAATATTTTCGTATACTGTGTGGTCTTTTTGTTTTAGGGTTGTCATTTGGCATTTAGGAAAAAAAATAGAGAAACAAATACCAATTTAATTTTCAGGGGAATATGAATTTGAACAAAAGTTATTTACAAGAACCTAGTCTTATATCAATACATAATTGATTGGTTTACTTAACTATTTGGAGTTGTGTTTATATAGCTGCAAAAAAACGTCCAGTGAATTGGACTCTTGGCATGCCCATACAAATGGGCACATAAAAATGATAGTCTCAGATGTTGCAAAACTGGCTGGTGCTAACAGATAAGACCACTGTGTATGCTGCATTCCTGTTTGGCTGTGATGGGATTACAACAGCTATATAGTAATGCATGCTGTGGAAAAAGGATTATGGTATGGGTTACAGTGAAATAAATAAGTAAAAATAGTAATTGGTCAGTAGTAATACATTCCTTCCAACAGGAGTTATTAAACAGATATTCACAGAAATTGGTATTGTTATTTAAATATGTCAAACAGTAACCACTGTTTATAATCAAGAGTGATTTTTACCATTGGACCTCCCTCTGCCCCCCACCGGCCCTTTTACATAAGCATAAGTTATACCTACCAACTCCAGACATTTCAGGAACACTGGCAGTGTAAATGTCCTTTGTAAATTTGGGTTCATTGTCATTGATATCATGGATTTTAATGATAAATTCAGATTCCGGCTCCACTTGTCTTCCAGTCTTTCTGTCAATAGCCTTGGCACGTAGCACATACAGGGACTTTTCTTCCCGGTCCAGTTTCTTTGCAGCATGAATATCTCCTGTATTTTCATCTATAACGAATAGACTGCCAGCCCCATCTCCTGTTAATATGTATTTTAAATTTCCATCTCCTTTATCTTGGTCAGTGTGTAGCTTCAGGGAGGTAGAAAAGAAGAATTCTATAAATATATGTATTGTTATTACAGACCAAATCATTCAGCACACATGAATAAGTCTGTACAAATCTTGACTGTAATTGGGGTCAGCAGTGGTTATCTTCTGTCTCACTGTTGAAAAAATTACAGATTTTGAGACTCAGTCACACACACAAAATATCTGTAAACAAATGTATAAGGACACAAGGCGAAATAAAAGATAATGAAATACTATGTAGAGTAACCAAATGGTAATAACAAATTATATTTCTTTCAAAAGCCTGTCCAGAAACCTAAATAAGTTTCCTTATTGAGATGAGAGGTGTAAAACTCTCAAGTTCCTTTTTGTGAGATAAAATTAGTCTTTGTATGTCGAATTGAACCAGTTGCTTTATAAAGGCAATGAGATGAGTGTTAAGGACTAGAGCTTTCTAAGTTTCCCAAAATCATATGTAAAGATCTAACTTAAGAACTTTGTTTTCTAGTTCTTTTCCAATTTTTCTTGAGGTTCATCTACTTCAATTAATGATTTACTCCCCCCAATCTCCTCCAGTAAAGCAGAAACAATTTTCAAGAACACTAGGGGCTAAGCTTTGAAAGAATTGCATGGATTTCATCAGCTTTCTTTTGTTAAATTTAAGGGACATGGCTATATCTCTTCACAACTTTACAAAAATATATCCCAGTGAGTTAATGATTACTGTATTGTTTGTCATACTATACAATTATGAAAAAGTGGATAAGAGAAACAGGAGCAGCAAGCTATTAACTTTGTTTTACTTACAGTTATTTGTCATTTTTTCTTTCCTTTGGGCTCTTGCTCTTATTATCACAGTTTATGTGGGCATACTTTTTCCCTTTTACGGATATCTGTGCATAATCATCAGAAATATTATCATAGCATCCCAGATTATGTAACAGCCTACAGGTACCTGACCAGGATTTGATAACTTAGAGGCACTTTTTACTGGGCAGAAGCAATCTCTTGTCTTCTGAAAAAAAATTATTTGGACTTATTTCATGGTGTAACAGCAACAGGAAAAATAATTATAACCACCAGCAAAGCTATTTGTCATGATCTTGTGTCAGCAATTCATGTTTTTTTCCCCTCAGTATAAGGTTCATGCTTCCACTTCTGCTCTCATAGTTTCTGTCTCTACATCTTGTCTCCCCCTTCTTAACACTTTGAACAGCTGAGACTTTGCATGCCAAAATGAGGTATATCAGCATCTTACCCTAAAGATGGACTTATTGATACAAAGATCACTATGTTGAATTTGGTAAAAAAAAAACAAACAAAAACTTTCTTAGTAGCATAGTTTTCTCATCTTGCCAATTTCATAACTAGGTCCAAAGCATGTGTGCTTAGATATCACAGGACAACTGAGATGACAGTGCTATGAATCCTGTATCAGGTCTATTCAAGGATTTAAGCCCTTGATTGCAGCAAGCTTTGATATCAGAAAGCTGTAAAAGTGTCTAAGGTTTATAGGAAACACAAGTCAACTGTGTTCCCATTAAAATCGACTAAAATTTAGTCATCAGCACCATTAGGCCCAGCTTTCCACCCATTGTGCCAGGTGTTAATAACCATATAATTGATGTGTTTGCAACAGGACTGGGCATCTTATATAAATAAATCAAACAGGATAGATGATTACATAAGCATACCCATTGACTCAAGGCAAATTATACTTAATATACGTTTGGTGTTCTTTCTTTATAATATATTATATGAGTCATATATATTTTCTATGGAGCAAGTACAAATAATGTACTGGTATGTTAAGATGCTGCAGAGGTGTAACTTGTCATTTTTAGTCCTGAGCAGGGATGGGAGGAGGGGAATGGTATTGTTCTGAGCAGGGATGGTGGAGGGGGACAAGTGCTGGGGTTTCTAACCTGACCATGGTGCTGCTGATGTGAGGTATAGCTTGGAAGCCCACTGCTGCTGGGGTCAGCTTTCTATCTACTTCTGCCATAGGGTGGCTCTCTGCACCTTTTCTGCCTGGTTGCTGAGTCTGGGGCCAGCTTCTTGGGGGCTATCGTTCTGACACCCCTGCTGAATCAGTGCCCACCCCTGGTGTCCACATTACTTACTCCTTATTACTCTACCACAATGCTTTAAGTGTTGCTTACAGAATTTATTAGCTCATTGAAATCTTTAGTGTGGCTGGACAGAATCAATCAGCTTAGGGCCACATATAAAAGTTTCAACTGAAATCCAAAGATATGAAGGTTTTATATGCATATACTCTTCATTTGAAGAGACTAGGTCCAGTTTAAGCATTTTTATCATCTTTTTAACATGTGCCTAATAAGCACACTGTTTTTAATCACTCTTATATTGCTGTATTTTTTCAAATGTAAGATAACCCTGAATATAAAACACCCCCCAAAGAATTAGATTCTATATATGGAAAATTTATAAACTTGATATACTTTTCCAAGTATAGAATCAAATTATTTGGCTAGAATTTGTCCCCATTCCACTGTTACAGCTGTGACTATTTAACTGGGGTCAGGTCCCTGCTCTTCCCTAACTTCTTCCCAATGCAGCTTCTTCCTCCCATCCTTACTGCCAGACCCTGCTCTCCCTGAGCACATGAAAGTGAGGAGCAAATATGAAAACACTGACTTTGAAATAAACATATCTATAGTAATTTGCATAAAAGTACAGGTACCCAGGTACAGGTACCCAGAAACTTAGTTCTTCCAGAATTGATGCATTTTATCCTTTTTGAAACTGCTGCAAGTTTTAGTGCAGGTAACTCTATAATCACATTTTAAACAGTAGTTTTGAACCTACTTAAATATAGCATGCACTATACATGATATTAGTCCAAAGCAAAAAGACACACGATTAGGCTGGACCCCAGCAGAGTCAACAGTGTTTCTCCTGGTAAGGCTTCACCTCTTGGAGGGCAGGGTCATACCAATTCTATGTGACAGGCTGAGAGAGGGATTCTGGGTGAACTGTTTGGGGTCGTGTATGGTGACGTTTGCCAGACATTTAAGGCTGATGAAGGAACAGGATTCATTGGAAATGGGAAAGAAAGGTGAAGCTCAACTGTGGCAGTGAAGAGGAAGTCAAAATGTATTCAGTGTACAGGTTCACCATGACTTGCAAAAGAGTCAGCGCTGAGCGGGACTGACCACAATGGGCACATTGCCTGCTCTTTCCCCTACTTCTCTCTTCTTTCCTTTCTTCCAAGTCAGGTGCTCACTGTAGGGATTGATGGAGATGGAGATGGAGATGGAGATGGAGATGGAGATGGAGATGGAGATGGAGATGGAGATGGAGAGGCATGCTCCAACAGGCAGCCTGCCTGGCCTCTTTCCCAGGGCACCATGCTGCTTCCTTTCCTTGCCATACTACACCCAGCATGCAGGACACTCATTTTAATCTGCAGCCTGTGTCTGAGATCCACCTCCAAAATCTGGGACTGTCCCAGGGAAAATGGGATAATCGTTCATCCTAATTTAATGAGGTTTCCTTGTATGCAAATATAAAATGAGGAGATGTTTCTCCTGTGCTGTTTCAGTGTGGGAGGTGGGGGAGAGAGGGGAAGGAATTCCTCTTGTATTTGAGTAAATACAGTACTCAGGTTAAAACAATGCTTATCTTGTCTTGTAGCTTTTCAGTGTTTTAAATGAAACTAATAACAGTAGCTGTTCAGATATGCATAGCACTTTTAATTGCAAAGTACAAGTTGTAGCTGATACCCTCCTTTTTCTTCACCTACATCTTCAGTGAAAGGCTGTAATTTTAAATTAGTATGTATAAAACTACAAAGTAGATTATGAATTAAAGAATCCCTTCTCTCATTTTCATACCCTTTCATATACCACTACTTACCCTAGAAAGCTCTCCATTTTCTTAGGCCCTATCCAGCTCCCTGTAAAATCAATACAAAAGTGCCTATTGACTTCACTGGGCTTTGGATTTGACTTCATGCTTTCCATAAGACTCTTTCTCATTCACTTTTCTTCTTGAAATTCATTTATTTCATGAGGTCTTTCAAAGATAGATCACCACTTGTAAAATAATTTTCAAATACAAAATTAGTGAAGCTGCAAAAATGAGACAGCTAGCCCAATCAATGTTTTATCCATCAAACTTTGTAATATATTTAGTGTTGAATAAATGTTGTCACTTAATTTAAATAAATAGAGCTGGCTGGAGATTTCACTCGTCAGTTTTCTTTTGCAAGATGCTGATCTGCCAGAAGCAAAATGTTCTAGTGGAAAGCTACCTGGCTTCATGACTTCCTGTCTGCCTCCTACTCTTTTTAAATCCATCTGTAAGTAGCTTGGGGTGATCCCTGATCTCCAAACTCCTTTCTTCCTGGGAATCTGACCCAGAATCCTGCTAAAGAAGTAAGGATTTGGAAGCTGGTGGAGATCTGGATCCCACATTTTCCTTACACCACTGTTTTTGAACATTTATGGACTCAAATCACACCTAAAAAAAAAAGCAGAACTTTGCTTTCACTTATTTCTTGACTACAGAAAAATAATAGAGCAGTTACATTGGCAACAAAGAACATAACAGGTCATAATATTTTTGATTCTATGGATTCCTACTGGAAATCTATCATATCTTGTAAATCATGTGTAGGTTTGCATGCCTAACAGTGCTAATATTGCATGGCACTTAGGGAGCTATGGCACCCTGTTTGAGAATCACTGTCTCACACAGTAGCTTATCTGGTAGGCTTCAGAGTAAGTAGCTGTCAAGATAGGGAATCCCAGAGCAGAGCTTCCCCTCAAAAGCAGCATGATACAGGATAATGGCATACTAGAATCCCAGTTTTTAAGCTAATAAGGCTTCTGTGCTCAACAGGAACATATTTCATTTCAGAAACAGTGAAATATTCCCACTTCAGAAAATATTGATATTATATATATGATAGATCTGTTGAAGCCTATATATATGTGTGTGTGCATATATATATATAACTATTATATAATAGTTTCCATGGTCATTGATTCAAT